GTTGCTGACCTTGAGCCAGACATCCTGGAGAGTGAAGTCAAGTGGCCCTTAGAAAGCTTTTAAGGTGCTACACTCAATCCCAAAGAAGGGCAGTGTCAAAGAATGCTCCAACTACCATACAACTGCACTCATTTAACACACTAGCAAGGTTATACTCAAAATCCTCCAAGGCAGGTTTCAGCAGTATTTGGACCGAGAACTCCCAGAAGTACAAGCTGTATTTTGAAGGGGCAGAGGAACTAGAGACCAAATTGCCAACATGCATTGGATTATGGAAAAAGCCAGAGAGTTCCAGAAAAACATCTACTTCTCCTTCATTGACTACACAAAAGCCTCTGACTGTGTGGACTACAACAAACTATGGCAAGTTCTTAAAGAAATGGGAGTGCCTGACCACCTTATCTATCTCCTGCGAAATCTCTATGTGGCACAGGAAGCAAAAGTTAGAACTGGATATGGAACAAATGATTGGTTCAAAATTGGGAAAAGAGTACGACAAGGCTGTATATTGACCCCTGGCTTATTTAACTTATATGCATCATATGAAAGGCAAGACTGGAAGAATCCCAAGCCGGAATTAAGATTGCCGGAAGAAATAACAACCTCAGATATGCAGATGCTACCACTCTGATGGCAGAAAGTGAGGAGGAATTAAAGAACCTCATAATGAGGGTGAATGAGGAGAGCACAAAAAATGGTCTGAAGCTCAACATCAAAAAAACCTAAGATCACAGCCACTAGTCCCATCACCTCCTGGCAAACAGAAAGGGAAGATATGGAGGCAGTGACAGATTTTACTTTCTTGGGCTCCATGATCACTGCAGATGGTGGTAGCAGCCACAAAATTAAAAGACCCCTGCTTCTTGGGAGGAAAGTGATGACAAACCCAGACAGCATCTTAAAAAGCCGAGACATCAACTTGCCGACAAAGGTCCGCATAGTCAAAACTATGGTTTTTCCAGTAGCGATGTATGGAAGTGAGACCTGGAAGGCTGACTGCAGAAGAATTGATGCCTTTGAATTGTGGTGCTGGAGGAGACTCTTGAGACTGCAAAGAGAACAAACCTATCCATTTTGAAGGAAATCAACCCTGAGTGGTCATTGGAAGGACAGATGCTGAAACTGAGGCTCCAATGCTTTGCCATCTCATGAGAAGAGAAGACTCCCTGGAAAAGACCCTGATGTTGGGAGAGTGTGAAGGCAAGAGGAGAAGGGGACGACAGAGAATGAGATGGTTGGATAGTGTCATCGAAGCAACCAGCATGAATTTGACCAAACTCCGGGAGGCAGTGGAAGACAGGAGGGCGTGGTGTGCTCTGGTCCATGGGGTCACAAAGAGTGAGACACAACTTAACGACTAAACAACAGTCCGACAATAGCTTACTTTGAAGCACCTTGACAGCAGTCATTGCCTGCCTTACAGGTGCTTATTTTGTTTCAAGCCTGTTTTGCAGTACTGAACTGCAAAAATAAAAAAATAAAAAAGCCTGGAAAAAATCTGCAGGCATTTAACTCGTACTGTCGCTGATACACACATATTGTGTAAGATCATCAGGGTCAATCATTGTTAGATTCCACTTTTTCCAAGTCCCTAATCACTCATATGACTGCTGTTGTTTTAAAATGAGAAACAGAGGTAATGAGGGGTTGAATGCAGGTGGTCAAAGCTATCTTTACAAAGCATTCAGGTGGTCAAAGCTATCTTTACAAGTGAAATTATCTGAATACCAGAAGTTGCTCAGGATCACCTCTAATGAATTTTTACACTGCACATACACATGATGGAGGACATAAGCAAATGACTGTTTGGCTTCCAGTAGACAGAAGGAAGCCTGTTGCCTTACTAGAACCTAGGTTCATTCATCCTGTTAACCTGGATGATGGAGGACAAAAGGAAGCGATTTTTTACGCATTACATAGTAAACTTGTGGAATTCGTTACCAAACGAAATACTGGTAACTATCAAGGGTGGTGGTGGTTTTAAATGGATATTAGATACGTTCATAGAATAGATAATGCTAGCAGTAGTTACTTGTCACGGTGGGCATACATCCCTCCAATATTGGAAATGTTAACCCTCTGAATTCCAGCTGCCAGGAAACATCTGCAGTATAATGTTACTGTGTTCATGAGGCTTTCCATAGGTATCTGGTTGACAAATATGGCAATAGAATGCTGGACTAGATAGGCCTTCAGTCTGATGCTCCAACATGGTTCTCTTATGTTCATATGAGTATATTTCATAAGAAAGAAATGAGAGTGGGCAGGTGTTTCTTCCTGGAACAAGTCTTCCTTCACCCCATTTCATGCTCATATAATGCTAGTGACCAGGATTCACGCCAACCTGGCAGTAACAGAGAAGGCTCCTCCTGCTGCTACATAGGAATTATTATATGATCTGCCTGGTTGAACCCGAATAACACAAACAGATCATCCAGACTGTTACCCAGTGACCCATGACCATCAGCTGCCAAAGCTGTATACTTCCATGAAACGAAAACATTGCTGGAAGAATCCATTTTCAGATAGCCACCTCCTCATAAACAAGCAATGTTTATTTATATACAGTAGATATTTATATAGAGAAATATATAAAGGAGTTATCTGCTGTTAAATTACAGGTGTCCTGTAGATCAGGTTTTTAATTCGCAGTCTGCATAGTCCTTTCATATCCTTCCACACTGACCAAGGACTCTATTTACATTGCAAAAAAAAAATTCAACCCTTTTGTGTTTTAATTTAAAACAAACAATCTGACAGAAAAGTGCTTAGTAGTGCCAATTAATTTTATATACATGCACATGTATAAGTTCTGGCAGTTATCCCTTTCCACTGACTATTAAGGAACTCATAATAGCCTTTAATTATAGGCTGCCTGGTGGGTCCGAAATGTGGATTTTCTCAGAGTTTTTCTCATCCTTGGCAACAGCTGATATGTGACAGATAAGCCAGGCAGCTGCAAATAACATGATGGAGTTAAATGAGGGACTGGGAATAACCAGCTGGGCCTCTTCAAGCATGGCATTTCTCCCATATGGAGATAACCTGTGAGAAAGGGGGTGAATCACATCTGTCCACATATACGGGCCATGTATGGAAAATACGGTAACATATATTTCGCAGTGGCAACAAGTGTTTAAAAGCTGTGTGCTTGCAATTCTACACATTCTTCCCTACAAACTGATTATCTGTCTTTGTATAGAAAAAAAATGTGATCTGATCATGTGTGTTCACGGTTTTGAACAAATGCTTATGACAGAGGAAGGTCGTTGACGCAGAATTTTAAATGTGGCCAACTTATGCACTTTTAAGTTAAACAGGGACAATACTGCCATATTAACCTAAGGTTGTGAGGAGGGAACACTGGTGTATACGCTGACATAAAAAGATTCAGCAATTTGGTCAAGCTCCTGACATATTTATCCAACTTTAAAAATACATACATTAATAGAATGAAGGAGCCCTCAGGCAAACAGTGGTATTTAGAGAGGTGTGGGAATAGTAGCAGGAATGTGAGGGATGAGATCAAAGACAAGTCTACAGAATGGCTGTATAGACAGACAGCAGTGAGAGAAGGATGACAGTGAAAAACAGAGCTAAGAACTTTCACTAGTTACAGTAAATATAACGGACAGAGAAGAATTTGTGAGACTGGGAGATATGTACAGGTTTTCGGCAGTGGTGGGGTGACATGTGGGAATTAGTGAAATGGTTGATTCAGTGGAATAAAGCATTTCCAGAACTGGGAGGAAGAGTATTAAAATAAAGTATTAATAACACACCACAAAGTCTGGAAGGTGACCGAACACATCAGAGTACATTGGGAGGAAATGGTGTATGAAAAGAGGTGTGAGGAAACTGATGAATCAGAAGAAGAGTAATGCACTGAAAGCGGTGTGGAATCACATAGGCTAATTCAGGCCGCAGAGGTCCTCTGAGATCTAATAGTAGTAATTTTAGAAAACACAGAAGGAGGAGGATAAGGATGGCACCAGGTCTGCAGAAGGCAGTGGAGAACCACAGGAAGGCCCAGACAGAGGCAAGGGGTTCAGAGGCATCCCGGGTGAGAGGAACCGAGGGGAGGGATGCTCCTGAGGACGGCCAGGGGGGAGTCATGTGGAAGGACGGAGGCTATTCTGGGCAGGGAGGCGAATGAATTGCGGACGGAGGAGAGGGTGGGGGGTTAAGGAGGGGGCCGC